CACCGAAAGATGCTAAAATGTCCTGAAACGTACTTAAAGTGACACAAAGACTCAGGTGAAATATTTCATATTTTGTTTTCCGTTCATTTTCTTTCTTAGAGATATTTCATTTAAAATATTCCATTTTTCAGATGGAATATTTCATTTCTTTGCTGCCATATTTTATTTATTTTAGATACAATATTTGGTTTTTCATATGAAATGTTTTCTTCCGTCAAGGTAACGTTTCATTTTTTTTAGATGTAATATTTTTCTATTTTAATTTATTTATTTTTCAGATACATTATTAGTTTTTATGGTTTAAATATTGAATTAATTGTCATATTTCATCATCGTCTGTCATTGCTCCTTACTTACCTATTCTACAGTTGTTATATTTAGCGTACTTCATTTATTTTCAGTCAATGTTTTCTTTTGCTCCGAGCTAAAACGTTAGCGTTAGCCTTTAGCCTCCTCGTGTCCTGATTGGTTCTTATCTTGTCGCCAGCCTCCTCCTCCTCCTCCTCCTCCTCCTCCTCCTCCTCGTCCTTACGTGTTTCCTTCTGTTCTCGTGCCACAAAACCGGACGTGAAACGCTGGTTTGAGCCCCGGTAATGTGAAGCCGATAGCGTCCAGCGGCGCCACCTCTGACCCGTTTCCCTCGCCGTGGCCGCTAACGCTTCCTGCCTCCCGCGCAGCAGCAGCAGCAGCAGCAGCAGCAGCAGCAGCAGCGTCGGCTGCGTGGGCGGCGATGGATGCGATGGGATGTGAATGTGGAATATCAATTATGACCAATGCCGTCCCTGTGCCGTCTCTGCTCCGTCTCCGCGGCGACGCGTGTGGGCGGGTCCCGGTCGCACGACAACGAGGAGAATAAACAGAAAGCCGGACGGACAGACGGTGTTTCTCTGAGTGTTCCTGCGCCCACTTTGCTGCACAAACCTCAGCGCCGAGTAAAGCCCGTCTGCTTGTGTTGCAGGAAATGTCCGGACGGGTTCGACTGCCTGAAGGCGGGAAGGAACCCGAACTACGGCTACACCAGCTTCGACACCTTCGGCTGGGCCTTCCTGTCGCTGTTCCGCCTCATGACCCAGGACTACTGGGAGAACCTGTACCACCAGGTAGCCTCGGGAGCCTTCAGGAAGTTAAACGGTCTGAAGCGGCCTCCACAAACCTGAAGCAGCTTCTGTCCGATCTGTTGCCCCTTGTCTTATAAATGTCAACATCCTTTCTTTAAACACAAACAAAACAGCAAGATTTTCATGTGAGCTCATCAAACACGACAGCTTTTCCTTTTAAGGAAAATAAATCCTTAATGAGTAAATCATTCAGCTAAATTCCCGCCATAAATAAACCTGTTGCTTCATGCTTTTATTGTGAAAGGTGAGACTAAGATTAAACGCCTCCCTCCCTCCGTCCTTTCTTCCCAGACGCTGCGCTCGGCCGGTAAGACCTACATGGTGTTCTTCGTGGTGGTGATCTTTCTGGGCTCCTTCTACCTGGTCAACCTGATCCTGGCCGTGGTGGCCATGGCCTACGAGGAGCAGAACCAGGCCACCATTGCCGAGGCCTGCCAGAAGGAGCGCGAGTTCCAGCAGGCCATGGAGCGGCTGAAGAAGGAGCAGCAGGTGGAGCTTCGCCTCGAGAGGCGCTGCGCTCAGTTAGCTCCAGGAAGTCGATGTCCCTCCACAATAAAAGGCCTTTTAATGATCGGAACAGAAGTTAAAACGAAGTTGTTCCACCAAACTTAACCAGATCAGAGAAAACTGAATATGAGTTTAGATGTTGACTGTTGAAAGAAAACAGGAGAAACTCTACATCAGGACTCGCAAACTTTTATTATTTTTGTTCTTTTTCAATATTTGACTATAAATTTAATTTTACTGTAATTTTAATGTCATTTTTCTGTTATTTGAAAGAAAAAAATGCATCATCGAAATGCATTTTAGATTTTTTGGTAATTTACAGATCACAGAAATAAAAGTATAAATTTACATGTTGACTCTAAATTTTAAAAAAAGAAGCAATAAATTATTTTATATCTCTCAGGCCTTTATTAGCTTAAAATAAAATACATGAGATAAAGTAAAACTTTTTAATCACGCAGTGCATCAGTCTGCAGCGTTACGACGAGGACAAAAGTGCAAACATTCAGAAAACATCAGCATAAAATAAAAATAAACAGAAGTGCTGATGAGTGGAAATATTAACGTAAGAAACGCTGATCGTTCTTGAAGTCTGACTTCTTTTATTTTGGCGACTCGGTCTGATGTCTGAATTTAAAGACGCTGTCATTCTGCCTCCAGTTCGCCGCCCAGAAAATCCTCGACTCCGACTCGATGATGTCACCGGACCTCTCGCCCTTCGGCCCGCCATTGGACGTCCTGGAGGAGCGGAGGCGGAGCCAGGCGCTGGTGGGCGTGGCCGACGTGGAGGTGAACCTGTCGGAGGAGAAGCTGCTGCAGGTGGACATGATGGACGGAGGAAAGGTGAGAGACTGAGCTCAAATAAATGAAGTAAACCAGAAAGACACTGTTCACGGCACCTAGCGCCGGATTCCCACCATTTATTTACCTGAATTTTTTCACAGAAGTTTTTTTTTTCCACAAAAGTTTCTCATTAAGACTTTTTTTTTTTTTCCACATTTTCTTAAAAGTTGTTTTCCAAAGTATGTATTTTTTACCTCTTTAATCCTGACTTTACCTTTGCTGGTGTC